GTGAGCTACTATACTACATTCGTAAGTTAAACTTTGGACTATATAAGTGTATATCAGAACTATACGGGCTCTGATGCAAATGACAACGTTCACTGCTAAGTTAAGTTTGCCATTTAATGCAATCACTGGACATAAAACAACAAATAGAATATATAATAAAAATAGTAAGGCTTTTCACTTCCCCTTTTGACCGTCTTGTTCCCGTCTTCCAACAAAATTGAAGGTGTTATGTCGGGTGATGCGCCGGAAGAACTACTAAACAGCAAAATATATACGGGTGTGTCAGGACTAATACTTATACATGAACGCTCGTTGCCCTCTTAAAGTAGGAAACATGGTAAATTGTATACAAATAGTGGATTTAAAGTGATAAACTGAGTTATTTGTGAGATTATTAGTATACCATGGCCAGTGTTTTGATTGAATCAGCATCCAGCTCCAATGATTTTGGAGATGTCCGTGCATCGAGTCTTGACTTGCCCACACCATATAGAATTCTTAGCCTCGTACGCTGCTTTATCCCAGTCTCCTTTCTCGATCGCAGCTTTAAACTTTACGAAGTCTTTAAACTTTGTCCGGCCAAGATTATACGCCATGTTGACAATGGCATTCTGCACAGGACAGCAAAGAGCGTTGAAAGTGCTGTTGCCGATCACAACTTCAGCGTCAACAATGGCCGTTTTCAAGCTGCTGTCCAAGAGCCTTTCGATGTATTTATTGTCGAGGCAAGGAACGGAGAGACATTTAGATATTTCACTGTCTTTGCAGCAGCCAGGACATGTTTTACTACATTTAGTTAAAGGACTCTTTAAAAACATGTCGAATGTCTTCCCTGCTGTACCTTGGCAATGCCCTCTCGGGTCTGCTCTGATAAATTCTTCTCTTGCGCCAGCCTTTTCCATGTTAAAACCATAGCCGATAGTTCTCTTTCCGCTTGTGTCAAGATAGACGCATTGCTTGTAGCCTTCATGCTTTTTGATCAATGGTTTTGGATCACATTTTTCAGTTTGAACAAAACACTTGAGGTAGACGCACGAGAAAACAAGTAACAGAAGAATCTCTCTCCGCTCCATGACTCGTAGTTGATATCTTGTTTAATG